AAAAACATCAACTTACCGACGACCCTTTTGATCAGCATTCCAGTGAGGAAGCACTTCACCGACATTCTGTTCGTCCGAGGATACATCCTGTGAACCTACATAACATTCTACCACATTTAACCACCCTACTTGACCGTACCGTCGTTGCAACCGTGGTGGCGGCGTCCTACACACCGTGGGCACCCGGACCGCAAGAGGAGCAAGCGAGGAATGACCATTTGTAGCTCGACACCAGTTTATATACCAACCTGACTTTGGCCTTCATACACCGGCTGCCCGGTCCAGACCGCAAGTCGCCGACTCTGACAAATGAAGTATTGTGTGATTTTTTATCCTTATAAAAATCACGAGTGTTCATTCTACAATCAACATGGGCACAAGGTAATTTAATGCCTATCCCGGAAAGCCAGTCGAAGACGCAGCCGAACCCGGAGGTAGCGAAGCATATGGAGTCAACCAGAATCAGAATCACAGTCAGAATCTGCTTTAGCCGTTTCTACCAAGCTGAAAGTCCATGCTCTTGTGTTCGAGACCATGAACTAACTCTCCGTGATACTTGACACGTTCCACGATGCCAACTAAAACGACAGAGAACCGCAGAATACAGTGGAGTGCCACCAAACACGGTGGGTAACAACCTACTCATCAGGTGAACATCGGCAACTTTTCAACAACGGAGTTTGTTGTCCGTAGTCACTGACTGCCTTTTCTTTGGTGACTGAATCGTCATTTCCGGTGAACTTCACTACCGGAGTGTGGCATATTTCAACGATGATATCCAGGGTTGAGCCTCATGAAGACCCTTGCTCGCAGCTGGATTTATCGGCCCGGTATTAATGAGCACATGGAGCAGTTTGATCGGAGTTTTTTCTGATGCGTCATTGTTCAGAAGTTACTCCACCGACAGTCGCCGCAGCCCTGGCAACAGCCGTCGATGCATTTGGTAGGCGACCTGGAGTCATTCGTTTGTGTGAGACAACAACGATGGCAACTACTACTAAACTGTAGCACTATTTTTCCAAGTTTTTGGCAAAACGGACTCTATTGTGTCTGAATGCGGTACTCAGTTCACATCCCATTTGATTACTGAATTTATTCAAACGCCCCGTCGCATATGTTACCCCCAACCATTCGATCTTCAATCCAACGGTCAAGCATAACGGTTTGCGACACTTAAACGCGCATCGACAAAGCCGAAGGAAAAAGGACAGGGTAGAAGTCCTGGATGAGTTTTTGCTGAAGCGTAGAGCAACTCTTAATCCACAGTCTCCTGACGGTCGTTCTTCAGCAAAGACTGTGATGAACAAACGGTTGAGACATACCCACAAAACTTACGTGTTTTCAATCAATGATTGGAAAAATACTAAAGTTACGGTTTAAAAAGCGGGTGCTTGCGAGGGACTAACACCCTGTGTACCAAAACTGGACTGTTGAATATCAAAAGAATCAGTAAGGCTATTTATAGCATCCGCGTAGGAGCACTGATGTGAAAACGGCATGCTAATCAGCTACGGTGGGCTGAGTGTATTACTCTTAAAATGGGAAATAGCTTCTAGACCCTAAGCTGTTGCTCGATCTTCCAAGACCAGCTCTAACAGCCACTGATTCACATGTACCGACCAAGACAGCTCCGTTACTACAGCTAGGACGCCGTACCAGTGACGCTAGAAAACCGGTGAGAGATTTCAACTAGACCCACGCCGGCGATCTTACTTTGCGAGGTCAAGAGAACGAGGTGATAGGGAGGTCAGATTACTGAAAGTAACCCCAGAATGCCTGAAATCTACTGAGACCCATGAAGTAACCAAAATCTCATTAGGGAAGCCGGCAAGCATCAGGGACAGTCAGCCAATAAATCAATCAACTAACACCATGGATCAAGGAAAAGTGCCATTCAAATGGCGAACAATCCCTTGTAACTGCTGCATTTGCTCGCAATAAAGCTATCACTTTCCTTATAGGCGAGTCTTGTTGTGATACTGGGGCAATGGAACGGGGACGACGGTAGATATATAAAAATTTACTGACCTCAGAAGCTGAGACGAATTCTCTTGCTTTGTCTGACCGGATGCCTCCTGCAACGTTGGAAAACTTTTCCCTACACAAAGCCTGCCACAGTTCTCACACTGTGAGACCACACACTGCGCCATGGCAGCCAGTTGAAATATGAATTCGACGCCCAAAGTGGACCTTGGGTTTGCTCCAGCAATTTTCAACATTCCAAGGTTTCGAATAGATATCATCGTATGCTAAAACTTTGTCTTAGGGTTACTTTCGCTTGCCCTTAGTTTTCAGAGAAATTTGGGGGTTGCCTCAATGGTCGGAGTTGGGACTGCAATCTGGTGATGAGCCACTTAGTGAGTCTTTGTTTCGGACTAGACGATCTGACGTTAGATGGGTTGGCTCCATTTTGCGATAGTCTCTAAGGGAGTTACTGGTATGCCTGTGGAAGGTAGCTGTTTTTCAATGGCTTGACATGTACAAAAGCGGCGTAGCACTATGCTAGAGTGAAAGGAAACTTTGGCGACTCGCGTTTCTGATGACATTTTATCCATCACAAACGTTTTATTGCGATACTACTTGTTCATTGTGTCTTGCGAAAACCTAAATGGTTTCCAAGGAGGCGCAAAATGCCCGCTATCAAGTAGGGTATGCAAGGTCTCTTGCCCGAATCCGATGCTATCTGGCGCAAGGGAGTTGGACCTCTTAGCTCTCGAAAAGAATGATATCACACATTTTGGATATGACGTCATGGTAGATCATGTCCGGAAAACGTCTTTGCAGGGTCAATTGTTGCGTGCGGGTTAAACGAAACTGAAACGTCAGATGTCAGGTTCCTCTTTGATTGCGCGGCCAAATTCATGGAGCGACCCGACTGTCGAAGTTTTTGCATCTGCCTCAGCGGGACAAACCTGAATATCAACCCATTTAACTATGATGGTAGGTGGGTTATGCTGGAGTTGCTGATATTATTGGTGATTAGAACCTTTTCGAATTCATCTTCAATAGAACACCGCACCTTCGATGACGGCGTTACGCTCTTTGACTCCCTTCAAGCTATTTACCAGTTAGGCGTCGGTGGACGAAGAGTCTGTGGGAGAAGAACTTGCTGACCGAACTGTTATGTTTCAGGGAGACGACGAAAATGGTCTTTAACCACCAATATTGCTTCGCTTAACGCGCCACCAATCAGTAATGCCACTGTCATCTCCTTCAAAAATTCACAAAAGGCAAATAAAACACTCGGTGCCTGCAGGCTTTATTTAGAAAATACCGATGTGCAATTCTGCAGTCATCGAAAACATAGCAGCACTTATAGCCAACGTACGCTCCAAAAGTAAGTCGAGGAACCCTTAAAGATTATCGGCCCTTTTTCTTGATGCACAGGGCGGATCGGTCATGAAACCTAACAGGAAGTTTCTCCTAATGCGAAAAACCCCTACTTGTCAATTATTTACATAAATCTCTACGGGCATGATAACATTCTATCCGAAACAGCATTCCTTGAAGACGAGTAGGGGCTTGAGGCTATAATAAACGTTTATTTGTTATTAAGATATCGTACTGAAAGTCCTTTCCTCGTAAAGTCCATCAAGAGAATGGTCACGGCTCTAAACCAGTTGGCGTAATGCTGACGTTTATTTGTTAGTGCCACAGGCA